CATTCTAGGAACTTCATGAAGCTGAGGTTGTGTAAGCTTCCCTGAATTGTATTTGTTGTTATGATAACATGAGATAGCCAATTCGTTGACAAAACTGTACTTCACATCAGTCTTGTTGTAAGACTTGGAGTCCCCAATCAGAGAAAGTTCCTATTCAGGTGTGAGATGTGTAATAGAGGCCTATATAATGGGTGGCCTGGAAAACTTAATACAGGAGGTGATTAAAATATCCAGCCCACCTGGATCTTTGCCCACAGCCCACTGCCAGACCCCCTCCTGATGCCACACTCTATCCACTTGCAACGATTTTCAGCGAATACTAACTTCTAGGAATTTACTTAAATACGTGTCTTAGATCCAAACATATTAGTGACAAGAGTAAGAGCATGTCCATCATGTTAGCAATGAGCTAAATATCCCTTGTTCATTATAGTAAATGACATCTCAAAAAGTGACACCTCAGATATTCTTTGCAATGTCAACATGCTTGAGGAAAACTTGTTATTGCTTTTCACAAACAAGCACTTTCACTTTTAATAATAATTATTACAGATGTTGAAATAACATGTCAAAACACCTCATGTTGGGAGATCTGAACAAAATTTGTTAAAAAAGTTTTTTTCTCCTAAAAAGCTATAAACTCTAACTGTAATAGTATATTTCAATTTTTATACATGTCTGTGGTAGATATGTTGTATGAATGAGATGCTAAACCCTGATGATTTTAATGTTCTCATTTCGTTGAATACTTGGTTTAATGGAAAGAGGTTAATAATCAAGTTTTTTTTCTATTTTTAAAAGTTGAGGTAAAATTCACATAACATACAATTAACCATTTTAAAGTATACAATTCAGTGTCATTTCGTGTATTCACAATGTTGTGCAATGACCACCTCTCTCCAGTTTCAAAACTTTTTCATCACCCTGGAGAAAAACCCCTATGCCCATTAGTAATCACTGCCCATCTTCCCTCCCCCCGCATCTCCTGGTAACTACTAATCTGATTTTGTTCTCTATGGAGTTGCCTTTTCTGGATATATCATATAAAAGGAGTCATGCAATATGTGACCTTTTGTGTTTGGCTTTTTTCACTTACCGTGATGTTTTTGAGGTTCATCCAAGTTGTAGCATTTATCAGTACTTGGTTCCTTTTCATGGCTGAATAATATTCTACTGTATATATCATGATTTGTCCATCAGCTAATGAGTCTTTGAGCTGTTTCTCCTTTTTGACTATTATAAATATGCAGTAAACATTCATGTACAAGTTTCTGTGTGGATATATGTTTTCATTTTCCTTCAGTATATACCTAGGAGTGGAATTATTGTGTTATATGATAATTCTATATTTAACTTTTTGAGAAACTACCAAAACATAGCCAAGTTTTATATACTCTGATTACCTTTGAATTTTAAACAATATATTGCGTCTTATTTATTTATTTATGGCTGTGTTGGGTCTTTGTTGCCGTGCGCGGGCTTCTCTCTAGTTGTGGTGCGTGGGCTTCTCTCTAGTTGTAGCGTGTGGGTTTTTTCTCTCCGTAGTTGTGGCGTGCGGGCTCCAGAGCACGTGGGCTCTGTAGTTTGTGGCATGCGGGCTCTCTCGAGGCGCGCAAGCTCAGTAGTTGTGGCGTGTGGGCTTAGTTGCCCCGTGGCATGTGGGATCTTAGTTCCCCGACCAGGGATGGAACCCACGTCCCCTGCATTGTAAGGTGGATTCTTTACCACTGGACCACCAGGGAAGTCCCTATATTGCATCTTTTTTAATAGCTTTATTGAGATATAGTTCACATATCATAAAGTTCACCCACTTACAGCATACTATTCAGTGATTTTTAGTATATTCACAGGGTTGTGCAACCATAACTACAATTTTAGAACATTTTAATCACCCTCAAAACAAACTTTGTACCCTTTAGCAGTCATCTCCCATCCCCTCCATTACCCCCAAGCCTAGACAATCACTAATCTAATCTCTCTATATACAGATTTGCCTATTTTGGATGTATTGTAAGAATGGAATCATACAATATGTGGTCTTTTGTGACTGGCTTCTTTCACTTAGCATAATGTTTTTAAGGTTCATTCACATTGTAGCACGTATCAAGTACTTCATTCCTTTTATAGCTGAATAATAGTCCATTGTATGGATATACCATATTTTGTTTATTCATCAATCAGCTGATAGGGATTTGTGTTGTTTCCACTTATTGGCCATTCTGAATAATGCTGCTATAAACATATGTGTACAAGTTTTTGGGTAGATGTATGTTTTCAGTTCCTTTGCAGATATACCTAGGAGTGGAATCCCTGGGTTATATGGTAACTCTATGTTTAACTTTTTAAAGAACTGCCAGAATCTTCCAAAGTCTGTACTGTTTTGCATTTCCATTAGCAGTGAATGAAGGTTCCAATTTCTCCACATCTTCTTTTTTTTTTTTAAGATTTTTTTTTTGATGTGGACGATTTTTAAAGTCTTTATTGAATTTGTTACAATATTGCTTCTGTTTTGTTTTTGGTTTTGGTTTTTTGGCCGCAAGGCATGTGGGATCTTAGCTCCCCACCCAGGGATCGAACCTGCACCCCCTGCGTTGGAAGGTGAAGTCTTAACCACTGGACCACCAGGGAAGTTCCTCTCCACATCTTTAACAACACTTGTTATTATCAGTCTTTTTATTGTAGCCATCCTAGTGAGTGTGAAGTGATATCTTGTTACAGTTTTGATTCATGCTTCCCTGATGGTTAATGATGTTGTGTATTTTTTCATGTACTTATTGGCCACTTGTGTATCTTCTTTGGAAAAATGTCTATTCAGATCCTTTGCCCATTTAAAAATTGGGCTGTCTTTTTATCATTGCCGTGTAAGAGTTCTTTGTATTTTCTAAATGCAAGTCCCTCGTCAAATATACGATTTTCAGATATTTTCTACCATTTTGTGGTTTGTTTTCACATTCTTGATCTTTGAAACACAAAAGTTTTAGATTTTGATGAAGCCCAATTTACCTATTTTTTCTTTTGTTACTTGTGCAGTTGATGTTGTATCTAAGAAATCATTGTCCAAACCAGTCATGAAGATTTACCCCTATGGTCCTTCTAAAGACTTTATAGATTTAAGGCTTTAATTATTTTAGGTTAATTTTTATAATATAATGTGAAGGAGGGTCCAATTTTATTCTTTTGCATGTGGATATCCAATTGTTTAAGTGATACTATATATTATTTTTTCTAAAACTATAAACATTTTCCATACGAATATTTTCTTTTTTTTGGCCATATTTCCCCATTTATGCCAGTGTTACCATCCCTCTTCCATAAACTGAAAACCTGGAGTTACTCATCTTCTTTCCTTGAATATTTTATCCCTGGGCTCACCACTCTGTATCACTACTCTGTTGAAATTTTTCTAATTATTTCAATGTCCATGTAGATGATCATTCCAAAAACCAGGTGTCTCAGTTTTTTTTTTTTTTCAACCTAATTATTTTGTTGTACAGCTTACCTCAGCCACTTGCCTCCAAGGTCATATTCTAGATCAGTAGTCCTCGATTAGAATTAGAATTAGCTCTCAATTAGAACTGGCTGGGGAGCTTTTAAGCAATACCAATGACAGTCCTCCTCCAGCATAATTACATCAAAATCTCCTGGGATATTACCTGAGCATCATTATTTCTAATGTGACACCAGGATTGAGAAACATTGCCCCAGACATTGCCATCACCAATAACTTTAATACTTTCCTTGTGGAAATATCAAGTATTCCACTCTTCATTTGCCACCTGCTAATTTTCCCTCTCACTGTTTTGAATAGACCAATTCCAATAAATCTTCTACTGGGATCTACAGTCCATTCATCTTAGCATCATTTCATTGGCTCTCATAACTCTAGTGTCTATACTTTCCTTATGTGGTAGTCTGTTATACTGATGGCCCCCAAGTGAATCATGCCTCCAGTATTCGTGCCTTTGTGTAGCGCCCCACACCTTGTCCCCTGCTCGAAATAGTGTTGGCTATGTGACTTGCTTTAACCACTAACATGTGGTGGAAATGACACCACTTTTTGAGAAGAAGCCCAGCTACCCTGCTGGAGAGACCATGTGAAAAGACCATACCAAGAGACTACGTGGAGAGGAAGAGGCCCTGAGGGAACACGTAGTAGAGCCATGAAATTCAAATGACAGTGAGAATCAAGGCTCCAGACAGTCCAGGTGATTTCAGTGTGCAAGGTTGAGAACCACTGATTTGTATGCTGATGGCTCCCAAATATGTATCTCTATTGTCCAATACAACTTTCTGTGAAGGTCTAGAAGGTCCTTTATGATCGACCCTCCACCCTGTCATCCCTCTAACAGCATCCCTCCTTGCTTCCCCTTGCTTACCTAATTCCTACTGCAGTGACCTCCTTGCTTTTCCTCACACAGCCTGGGTATATACCCTCTTTAGGGCCTTAGCCTGTTCCCACATTTTCTGCAGTACTCTCCCCCCAGATATTTACATTATCCACATGTCTCACTCCATCATCATCTTCTGGTCTTTGCTCAATGCAATGGAATAAATGCTGTAATTGAGTAAATTTTGCTCATCTTGCTAAAATGTCAACTAACATATATCTATGAGAATATGGGAAGATAAGCGAATAATAAAAAGTTTTACAGTGCCCATTTTGGTGAGGATATGGAAAAAGGGAAACTGTTATGTGTTGACGGTGGGTGTTTAAATTGATACAGTAGCTTTGGAGAGTAATTTGGCATTATCTAGCAAAGTTGATCATGTATATATATCCTGTATGAAGTAGGAATATAGCTCTGGTGGTTTTAAAATAGGTTCACAAATTCTTTGATAGGTCTCCCTTTAATAGGTAGGGCTTAATTCTCCTCTCCTTGAGTAGGGGCTGGATTTAGGGATTCACTTCTAATGAATAGATATGATGGAAAGGACAGTGTGTGACTTCCAAGACTAGGTCATAGGAGGCATTAAGTTTTCTTCTTTACCCTTTCTCTTAGATCACTTGCTCTGTGGGGAAGCCAGTTGCCATGTCATAAGAACACTCAAGCAGCCTTTTAGAGAGACCCAAGTGGTAAAAAACTGAGGTCTCCTGACAAGAGGCAGGGAAAAAAAAATTTCTTGCCGACAGGCATGTGAATAAGCCATCTTGGAAGAAGATTCTCCTGCCCCAGTCAGGCTTCAGATGATCACAGCCCCAGCTGACGTCTTGACCACAACTTCATGCAAGAGCCACCCAGCTAAGTCATTCCCAAATTCCTGTTCCACAGAGACTGTGAAATAATAAAATAGTGTTTGCAAATATCTTTTCCCATTATGCATCTTGTCTTTTCACTCATCTTAAGATGTGTTTTCTTTTTTAATAAACTGAAGTTCTTAGCAATATATTCCAGTTTATCAATCGTTTCTTCTATGGGTAGTGCTATATGTGTCTTATTTAAAAAACCCTGCCTTAACCTAAGGTCATGAAGATATTCTCCTATATTATCTTCTAAATGCTTTATATTATTACCTTTTATACTTAGCTTATAAGCCATCTCCTTTTAATTTTTGGTTATTCTATGAAGAAAGGATTCAAGTTTATTTTTTTTCTGTGTGAATACACAATTGTCCCAGCATAATTGATTGAAAAGCCCATCTTTTCCTCACTGCTCTTTAATGTCATTTCTTTTCCATATTAATGCCTATGTGTGGGTTTGTTTCTATTCTCTTTTTCTGTTTCTTTGGTTTAATTTCTGTCCCTGCTGCAATGCCAAACTGTGTTGATTGTTATACCTTTATAATATATTTCTGTATCTGATATATCCCAGTCCTCCTTTTGTTCTTCTTTTTCGTGAAAAGTATTGTAGCCATCTCTAAGTGAAAAGAGTATTACTTATGGTTTTTGAAATATAAAAAATAAAAAACTTGCATATGAATATTTATAGATGTTTCATGTATATAACAAAAACTGGAAACACTTCAAAGGTCCACCAACATGTGAATAAATGAACAAGTTGTTGTATACAATGCAGTATTACTCTGCAATAAAAATGAACAAATAGCATTATATAAACACTATGGATAAATCTCGAAAACATTATGTTGGGCAAAGGAAGCTAGGCACATAAGAATACATACCTTATGCTTCTATTTGTGTGAAGTTCTAGAACATGCAAAACTAATCTAAAATGACATAAAACACATCCATGGTGGCCTGGGGAAAGGAATTCTTCAAATCATTCAATAGCTGAAAGGTTGCCCTGTTGGTATTCTATTCTGACAAACCGGATAGGACTAAAATCATGATTGGGATGTACAGGTGCCCCATGGTATAAGAAGGTACATTTTCTGGCCCTTCAGCATCTGTGGATCAGCAGATTTTGACACTTTTAAAGTAATAATAATAATAGCACCCATAAAATCTAAAATTTATATTGCACATAGTATCTACCAGGCATTGTAACGCTTTACATATCCCATCCCATTTATTCACTGCAAAAGGTTTTATGGGTAAGTATTATTATCTTTGTTCTACTCATGAGAAAACTGAGCTACAGAAGAGTCGAGTAATTTACCCCAAATCACACAGCTATCAAATGGCCGAGCTGGATTATGAACGGAGGCAGTCTGGCCTTGGAGTTTGTACTTGTAACCATGATCTGAATCAATGCTACAAACAGGTTTTGTCTGCTTAGCATTATAACAAAAAGTTGATTTGAGAAGTTCAATGAAATGTTGTCTCTTGTTAGAATTAGCAATATAACTGGCAAATTTGGGGGAAAAATCCTTTAAGTGAAGTTATAACCCCGCCTAATTTAAGGTTTAAGAAAAAAATTCACCTCCTCCCTCCCGCCAAACAAAACACAACAAAACAAAAACGAAACAACAAACCACATAAAACTGACTGCAGAGAGGAATGAGATTTTGGAGGACTTGTATTATCCAGATTATTGGATTCATACAGTTATAAGCCCTTTGCTTAACCAGGCTTGTGTCAATGGGATCAGTTCCTTGTTCTGTCTGAAAGGGAATTTTTCAGCCTGTCACTAAGAAGCAAATTCTTCTTTTCTGCTCTTCTGCTCCTAAAGATATTTTAATTTGTTTGTGATTTATTGAAATTTGCCTGGCTCTGGGAGAGCTGCATCTTTTAAGTACACTTTATTGCCTACTCCAATCTATTTGGGAAACTTTGTCTTCTTAAAAGATGTTTCCCTGAGAGCACATTCTCATCTGAAGTCTATGAAGTAGCGTGCTCAATACAGCACACAATTTATTCTACCATTTGCTTCGTTAAGGTACCTAGAGGACATGGTGTGTGGTTATGGGTGTACCAAAATGGCCACAAATCCCCTCATACATTCGCTTCTGTTTGATAACTTTGATGGTGAACTCGGTTAAAATTGCGGTTTTAGAAAACTAACCTCAAAAATTAAGGGTGCTAAAAGATATATTCTAACCAAACTGAAATATTTTTCTGTCAAGTAATTAATATCTAAAAATAGCATAATGTGATTATCCCAGTGACTTATTTTGGTCAGAGAATCTTTTTAAATACACATAAGACATAAAAATTTGGAGTGTGTGTTAGTTCACCTCTATGCTAAATATCCTCTATTGATGAGACTCTTAGAGGCTTATAGGAGTGGATTATGCCCTCCCTTTAAAAAAATAATTAATGCTTTTACCTGTGTTAAAAGCTCTTGGGGCTTCCCTGGTGGCACAGTGGTTAAGAATCCACCTGCCAATGCAGGGGACATGGGTTCGTGCCCTGGTTCGGGAAGATCCCACATGCCGTGGAGCAACTAAGCCTGTGCGCCACAACTACTGAGCCTGCACTCTAGAGCCCACGAGCCACAACTACTGAAGCCCGCGCACCTAGAGCCCTGCTCCGCAACAAGAGAAGCCACCACAATGAAGAGTAGCCCCTGCTCGCCGCAACTAGAGACAGCCCATGCTCAGCAACGAAGACGCAACGCAGCCAAAAATAAATAAATTAAATAAATTAATTAAAAAAAAAGCTCTTTCTTCTATCTTAATTTTTTCTCGTTATCTTGTTTTTCTCCCACTCACCTTCTTTCTCACTTTAACTTCCTGCCATGTTTCTCTGTCAGAAGTCTTTGTCTGTTTCTTTTTTTCTGGGGCCTGGAGATTGGTAACAGGATTTCTAGAGGAAGTGCTGAGTCCTGGGTCAGGATCCTGGCTAGGCTAGCATTAGTAGGAGGAGAGATGAGGGTGGACGTATCGCTTGACTAGTTTATTGTTTTTGACTTGTACCAATGGGAGGCATCAAAGAAATAGAACATATTTTATTCAGTTTAATCTGTCTCAATAGAGGGCATCCTAATTTCACATGAGATGGGAGAAGGCGTATCTTTCCAGTTCTTTCCCAGTGGGCATGTCAGTAAAATAGGAATGCGTAAACATTGGAGAGACAGAGATTGTTATTGCGGGGCCTGCCAGGCATTATGGTGTTTTTCAATACCACTTAGGATGCTGTAGCAGATGAAGACTGATTTTCTTGTGACTGATTCTGTTATTTTTCTACTGCTGTTGTAACAGATTACCACAAACTGAGTGAATTAAACAACACAAACTTATTAATTATAGTTCTGATGATAAAAAGCCCTCAAATAAAAGAACTGGCAAAGCTGCGTTCCTTCTGGATGCTCTAGGGGAGAATTTGTTCCTTAACTTCTTCAGCTTCTAGAAACTGCCCATGGTCTTTGGCTTCCAAGTTCAAAGCTAGTATTCACATCACTCTGACCTCTGCTTCTGGTGTCATACCTCCGCCTACTCTGAAGCCCTGCCTTCCTCTTACAAGTGTCACCGCAAGTGGGGTCCGGCTGCTCGCCGCTCAACAGCTAATAAAGAGGCCAGTTTGGTGGGAAGGAAAGTTTGCTTTATTTTGGGTGCCGGCATCCAGAGGGTGGGGAGGGCAGACGCCTGTCCAAATGCCGACTCTCCCCCTCCTACAACCAGTGGGCGAGAGCTTTTATAGGCAGAGGGAGGGGGTGACATGTAGAAACAGTACAGTCAGCTCTGACAGTCATCTTGAATTTGGTCATCAGTGGTCTGACGAGCGTCATCTTGATTGTGGTAGGTGCAGTTGATCTTCAGTTCCAGGGTTGGTTTCTGTTTCTTTGAGGCCAATTCTCGGAATCGTGGCAGCTTATGTCATGGCTAGCTGGTCATCAGGTAGTTAACTTCTTCCACCTGGTGGGGATTTCAGTATCTACAAGACAGCTCACAGGATATGGCTCAGAATATTTTAAGGAGGAGCGAAAGGTCCTTGACCATGCTTCATGACTAAACTATTATTTTTTGATCTCCTTTGACTGTTTTCCCCTGTTTCTGCATTTTCTCACTTCTCTGATTAAAATTATTCTTTGGCTAAAGTTTCTCCACAGACAAAAGGCAGGCAGAGGACATGGTGGTGGTGGGGGCAAGGACCATAGGGTCCTGCTCTGAAATCCTGCCTCCCTTTACATTGGGCCCACCTACATAATCAAAGAAAATCTTCCCATCTCAAGATACGTAACTTAATGACATCTGCAAATCCATTTTGTCAAGTAAGGTAACATTCCCCATTAGAGGTTTTGGGGATTAGGATATGGACATCTTTGGGAGTCCATTATTCTTCCAGTCACATACCTGTTCTACAACCAGCTGCCTGCCTTGTACTCCTATTGATGTCATTGATATCATCCAATTGATAAACTGGAGTCAGCTAGACTCTACCATTTTTCGTGCTATTTTTACTTTTTTGAATCCTTCTCCACATAGGAACCAAAACAACTGTGCTCTGATGAATCTACAGAACAACATGGGTTCAAATGCCCAGAGCTTTCTTGATCCACACATTCTCTGTGCTTGATGCAGAGAATCTACCAGGTTTGAAATCCTAGCGCTAATGACTGGTACATTTCTGGGGTATTGTGCCCACCTAAGAAAGTAAAACTTATCCTCTGGATAAAGGTCCCCAATCCATAAAATTCGAACTCTATCTTTCCACTAAGATCTGGCAGTTCTGAGAGCCTGCAAGAGTTGTTAATGTACCTTCTCATGGCCAATTTCCACAAAGTATGATATAAGAACATTGCATCATCCAAATTAAACGTGTGACCTACTGTCAGCATCAGTCAGCACAGAAAGTGGCCTTTCTATTGAAATTTTAAGAGAATGATGCCTTGTTGCAAAGAAAAGTTCTTCATACTCTTTGTCTCTCTACTTTCATTAGAGAAACTGGCACGGAGAGTGTAAGGGGAAAGATGAGTGAAGAGGTAGGTGAGATGACAGACACCAGGTGGTGACTTGTAAGACATCATTTCCACCCTCAGGACAATATAAAGTACTGAAGGAATTTAGGTAGATGGGGAGGGGAGGATACAGGAGAAGTCAAAGGTTGTTTACTCGGTATTTTGGCTTGGGGATGCTGGATTAACAGTGGCTCCATTTACTGAAATGGAAAATAAACGAGGAAGAATAGAATTTGGAGGTAAGATGCCGGTCAAGTTGGAATTGCTTACAGGACATCCAAGTGGAATGGTTATATGGCTCAGGAGAGAGGTTTGGGCTTGTAATATGGCTTTATGACTCACCAGTATAAGGACAGTAACTGACAGCGCTACTGGAGATAGTGTACAGCAGTGGTCCCCAACCTTTTTGGCACCAGGTACTGGTTTCCTGGAAGACAATTTTTCCACAGACCGGGGGCGTGGGGTGGTGGTGGGTGGGCGGGGGTAGGGATGGTTTCGGGATGATTCAAGCTCATTACATTTATTGTGCACTTTATTTCTATTATTATTACATCAGCTCCACCTCAGATCGTCAGGCGTTAGATCCCGGTGGGGGTTGGGGCCCCGGAAGAGAAAATGGCGTTAAGATAGAGTCCCGAGGAACACCAACATCTAGAGGATAGGCAGAGGAAAAGCCTGCAAAGAAGACTAAGAAATGGTTAGCGAGGTAATTGAAAAATCTGAAAGAGTTGACATGTTAAAAAATTTGTACCCACACCTTGGGTGCTATTATTGGAAACACATTTAATCACAATTAAATGTGACTTGAAAATTGTTTCTTTACATATAAGATGGGGCCAGTAATTCCTTACTTGCATCACAGGATTATGAGGTTCAAATGAAAAAGTGTATTTGAAAATATTTTGTAAAGTGTTAACTCCAGTGGTCTCAAACTTTAGCGTGCCTCAAAATCATTAGGCGGATGTGTTAAAATACAGATTGCTGTGTTTCTGATTCATTAGTAATAGTAGTAGTTTCTGAGTCAGTAGATGTTGGGTGGGGTCCTAGAATCTGAATTTTGCATAAATTCTCAGAAGATATGGATCTTGCCGGTCTGGGGCCCCTCTTTGAGAACTACTGTGTAATACAAGTGTACGGAATTAGGCTTCTGATTTTATAGCAAAATTCACTGTTTTCCTCTGATTTGTGTCTGTTTCATTCCCTAATGTTTTCAAGCTTGTATCCTCCATCAACAACGTTGTTCAAACATCCTTACCCTGCTTCATACCTAGCAATACCCGTTTGCATTTATGAAAGATCAGTTTAGTGTAGTATTTTGTTGGTTTACAGTAATGAGCAGCAACCTAAGGTTAACTTGATTAAGAAGGATATGAAAAATATACGATATTTCTCATGAGGAGAAGGAGATAAGGAGGAACTTTTTGGAGTAAGAAGCGGGATTTTTTTTTTTTTCTTCAAAGTCAATTAGAGGTAGAATGCTACTTGTTACCTACTTTCAAAAATCCCCTTAGAGGACTTGTAATTTGATCCAGAGGGAGCAGCATGAGGAGAGTCAGGTAAGAGGAAAAACTGACATCATTCTTCAGTTCTTTCCGAAATCCTGAGAAATGTGTGTACCTTAACACTCCCTTCTTCAATCCCACAAAACAGGGAATCAGGAAAATGCATTAGCACCCGCGTACGGACTAGGAACACAGGGCAGGAAGGAGTCACAGCCCCGTCAAGACAGAAGGATACTGGGGGAGGGGAGAGAAAACTTCCCCTAGTCGGAGACCGCAGCGCGGCCGTGGGAAGATAAGTGAAGTGGGGAAATGTATTAATACTTCAGGCGTCAGCCAGACACTTGGCCTCTGGGCATGTGGGAAGGTGAGGGAGGAGGGAAGAAGGCTGCACCAGAACGGGAGCGCTAGAGCTCCCGCCGCTGATTTAGAGGGAAGACCTAGAGCGCTAGAGCTTTCTGCTTCCCCTCTTTCCTGCTGGAGGCCATTTCTCCATATTTAACTGGGATAAAGAAGGGGCGCGGAGCCGAGTCAGAAAAAGCCAGAGTTGCCGCCTTCCCCCCGCAGCAGACCTCTCTTCGGCCCCCGGCCTAGGCGGGAGAAGTGGCCTTAGGGGAAGCTGAAGTAACTCCGTAGAGGGGGGAGGGGTCGCCAAGCTCCTCTCCAATCGCCGTGGCCGCTCCAGCTATTTGCATATATTATGGGGGCTCAGCTCCCAACCGAGCTCCCCGCCCGCCCCTCGGGGGTTCTCCCCGGCCCCGCCCGCGGGCTGGGCGAAGGTGAATACATTATGCTAATGAGGCGGGCTTCTGCCCGGGCTTGGGAAGGGGGCGCACTGCAGTAGAAGCCGCGGGCTGGAGGCCCCGCGCCGGGAGGGGGTCGGGGGAGGGACGCCGCTGTCGGAGCGCGCGCGCACTTACACGCTCACACACACACTCACACACGAGCATCCCGAAGGGTATTTAAGGCTCGCAAATGCGAGGCTGCGGAGATACTTCGGGCAGCCGCGACTTCGGCCTCGCGACTCGCATTTTCTCCTTGGGGATTTCGTTTTCCTCTCTCCTCTCCCCCTTGGCCACCCCTTTTGCACTGCACGCTCGTGGTCTCTCTCAGCCCTTTCACCTGGAACTGAATCCAGGTGGGAAGCAGGTCGGCGTGAGAAAAGACACCGAATAGGTAGAAATAAGGCAAACTAACAGAGGCGCAACAGGTCCGGTGCTCTGCGGCGAGGGCGAGCGGCGGCCCCTCGCAGCGCCTTGGCCGCTGTCTCTTGGACCCCGCGCGGCCGCTCTCCTCAGAGGAAGACCCCGTCCTTTGAGGGGCCAGGAGGGACACCCGGGTGGGTTTCATTCCGGATTTTAGCTTATTGCCACCAGTCCCCGGACTGAGGGTGCTTTTCACTCGCAGCTGGGAGGGGAGAAGAAAGCGGAGGATGGTCCACGTCTGCGGGTCTCGGCGCTGATCCATCGCCGCGCCCCGGCTCCGACTCCGCCAACTAGTTGTGCAGCCACCGGGACTGAACTTTGGAGGAAACGTCCTTTTTCTTTCTTTTACGATTATTGGAGGTGGTAGAGGGTGGGAGGCGAAGCCGAGACAGCCGACCCCGCCACGATGCTGGTGAAGAAGCAAGCAGGGAAAGGAGGGGGGCGGGAGCCGGACTCCGAGGACCGGAGCCCAGCCGGGCAGCGTTGTGCCCGGACCGTGTCCCCGTGCGCCGCCCTGGCCGCCCTCCTGTCAGTAGTGGCCGTGATATCTTGTCTGTACCTGGGGGTGAAAACCAACGACCTCCAGGCGAGGATCGCCGCCCTCGAATCCGCCAAAGGAGACCCTTCCATCCGTCTGCTGCCTGATTGTCTGGATCAGCTCAAAGCAATGGTGCAAGAGAAAGTGGAGCGACTTCTGGCTCAGGTGTGAAAGGCTGGGGTGTTTTGCACGTGGATAACATCTTGCACAGGCGTGATTCTGTGTACATGACCAGCCTCTGCCTTACTGTATGCAGACGTGATATGGCTGTGTGTACACATATATGCTAGGCCACCATCTCTGCTCACTGTAGCATATATTTGTATATGCACACACTTTGATATCACCCTCTCTGTCTCTATCATCTTCCCTTACTCTTCTTAATGTTTGCATGCTAAACATATATGGAGGTCTAAAGGGGGGAAGGGTGGCCAGAAGGGCAGCGTGGCATTTCAGCCCTTTTTAGTTTCTGGAGTTGCATGTGGATCTTTTCCAATGTTGTGAAGAATATTCCTTGCAGAGATAACATCTGTTATATCCTTTTTAAGGTATAAGAAGGTTAGGGCCATAGGTGTTATTAATATGCAAAAGGGAATCACTCTTAAAAGTGAAATAATTCTACATATGATTTTATATCAATTATTTCACACATTGAATGTTTTCATATTAAATGTTTAAAAAGAAAAAAAAAGTAGCTTGATTTTTTTGTAAAGGATGCAGTGCCATCGGTGTTTGTGAATGCAGAGCCATTGGAGTTGAGAGTTGAAAGGAATCTGTGTTATGTTTATCAAAACCAGGGGTGTTTTAACTACAGTTAGGGGGTTTTCTGGAACTTGCTCTTCCAACGGAGAGGCTGTTTGGCCGTAGTGGCAGGACAACATGATAAGCAGTTGACCTTTATGTGTAAAATACTGGTTGCTTTAAAACCCCTAGCTTACCTAGAACTGCAACATGTTAATGCTGGTTTTTTGCGCTGACTGAATATGCCTGAGCTGAGAGAGAGGGTGATGGTAGTTGAAGAATGGAGAGAGACGTTACACAAATCCAACAGTCTTGATACCATGTGAATGGTCATTTTCTTTTTTTAGGACTTGGGTACTGTTACCTTTTGACTAAAGTCCAAGTACATATGTAAACGTTAGTTATGCAGGCTGGTAAATCAGGCATATGGCCAGAGTTCCTAAAGAATCCATTTTTCTACAATACTACTGATGATTGTTAATACCTCTTCTTTTCCTACAGAAATCCTATGAACATATGGCTAAAATAAGAATCGCAAGAGAAGCACCTTCAGAGTGCAACTGCCCAGCAGGTAAAGTGGAACTTATTTCACAAAGTTTCCTCCATAGCAGAGCATTTTAAAACAAAGGTCCTGTGTCTGTCAAGTCTACCTGTAATAATAGTAAAGAAAGAATGCAGACTCAACTTACTTTAATAAAATCAACATGTCTGGGTAAAAGGATGGCAAATAAAGCCCCAGATATTATTTTAAGCAGCATACCAAGGTCTGTTAAGGGAAAGCGAAGAAGGTAGAGATAATCACCAAAGAAAATACAGGCAAGATGATGTCCAAAGACAAAGTTCTTAGATTCAAAGATGGAAAATTATTCTTCAGTTTTATTCAATTTTAATATCTATGGTGAAAAGGACTGCAGAACACGTTAGATTTGAATTCCTTAGTGGCTAATGTTGCCTTAGTACAGGTTTCTGTTTGACAAACGATTATGTTAGTAGACCTTACCTGCTTTTATTTTCTATCAGAAAGGTTCTCTCCCCTATCCTATAGGAATGAGGACTGAAAGGAAATTAGTTCTTTATCTTGAGCTGTTCATTACAAACTATTGCATTCTCAGTGACTTCTCAGAAAAGGATCTTATATTTTTACCATTTTTCTGTGTGGCTTTAGGGAACTATATTAATTTAATGACAGCATATTAGTAGAAGGATGAAGAAGAGAGACATTGATGAATAAAACCCCCTGGGTAATCATTAAATCTTCCTTCACAGACCTCTGAGGCTTGGTAGTCAGTCATCTGTAGACCTAAAATTTAGAAGCCCTTGGAATATATCCATTGGAAAATATCTAGTGGATTCAACTGATAGAAGTCGTGAAAAACTTCCATGAGTCTTGAGATTTTTGTTTCAGATAAATGGTGTTAATGTATTTATGAACATTTTAGTTTCTTTGATCATCATGTATAGAAAAGCGAGTCTCTTACATTGTTTTTCATGTTTAGGAACATGATACTTAGATACTTACACTGTATGGAAAGGCTAGTTCCTGAATTTTTTTCACATTCTGAGGTTTTTTTGCCTCATGCTAATTTGTTTTGACACAGCTAAACCAGGCACAATGTTTAGAAATTTCAAATGTCAACTCCTGATTGAACATCATAAAATTTTTACTATTTATGTTCTGCTATATTGTTGACCATAATGGAGCTGTATTTTTTAAAACTGAAGCCCTTTCAATTGAGAAGACATATACATTAGGTAACAGGAAAACAAAGAGTTAATGTTTTACATTGTAGGTTTCATTCTTAGTTGTTTTAAGTTGGGAAAGACCTCAGAAGTCAGAAATTCAAAGAAGGCACTTTTCTAGTACAGGAATGAACTCATAACAACCTCACCGGCCTGTAGGGATTATTTAAATTCCCAAGACAGTTGGTACAGGACTTCACTGATCATACCACTCAGAATCCACTGTTTTTTGTATACAGTACTCTTGCTAGCTGTGCGAAAAATAACTGGTATTTAATTAATTGGATTCTTAGTGAACTTGGTAAAAAGTAGAAAAGTGACAACCGCAGCACTGAGGGTTTTTTTTGGGTATTTTAACTGCTTCATGATGTTTGATGTAAGCTGGTGGTTGAGGTCTAATCTGTAATCTGGAAGAAAGCCATTACATTTAGAGTTCACCTTATATTATCTTGGAAGATCATTTTGAACCATTTTTCTTCTTAACATTAATTTAACAATAAATGGTGATTTCACCATGATAACAAATAAATAAGTAATAAATGGTGATTTCCTTGGCGTTTTTGTTGGCTCTCCCTAATGGCTGCTTTACTTTCTTGCCACCACTAGAGCTCCACATTACACCAGTTTTCACCAGGTTACTCGAGAGGTAAACTTTTGAAGGTGCATATTCCAACACACAGAATTAAACAGGTTTCTTGCTGACAAATCGCCGTTACAGAAACGCTCTCTTCTGCTTGTGGAATAATTAGACATCATCAAAATAAAGGCATTATGTTGAAAATAGTATCCTGGGGAAAACCAGCTATTTTGAATTATGGTCAGTGAGGTATTGTTTTAGGGAATGAATGGGCTGGCCAAGAGGATTAGAAAGTAGATACAGTACTTCCCACCTGGTTTGGCTTTTACCTTCGTTTACAGTGACTAAGAGTTGTTACCCAGACATCTGTTCATAGGGCAGAGTGAGACAAGTCTGTGACCTCAGCTCAGTTCCTGTGGACAGATGCCCACCCCTTGAAGTTAACACTCTTGTTGACAGTCTCCGTCACAGAGCCAAGGACTGATAGCAAAGGACTAATGCTGTGTTGTTTATGTTCACTTTTGATAGAATTCAGTCCCAGTGAAGCTTATCCAGGTAGGCTACAAGAAATTATAGAATTGAAAGCTTTTATTTATTTATTTTTTTTAGCACAAGAAGGAACTTTTGTGGGAGAGGCATGAGAAAGACTGTTACCGAATGAAAAACCATTCATTGAAACCATTTCATTGAATGGTTTTTCATTGAATGGTTTTTCAAGCATTCTCTCATTTAATCTTCACAACAACCCCGAGAGTTAAGTATTAGTAATCTCATTTTGCAGATGGAGAAGCTGAACTCAGAGAAAGTGACTAACTTAACATAGTAAAGGCAAGGTCAGGATTCATGCCCACATCTGACAGAATCAAAACCCAAAGTCTAATGAGGAATTGAGAATGAGTATAGGTTTTGGAGCTGGACAGTTCTGGATTGGAATCTTGCTACCTTCCTCATAGGTTGATAATTTACCTGAAGTCTGGTGTATTATTGGCCATTCATTAGATGACAGCAGTTACTATTCTTTTTAATATATTGTGTGTTACTTGACTCTAATGTGTCCATGGGGACATATGATATAGTTGGGAAAACTGAGGCCTGAAGATGTATAACTTACTCAAAGCCTCATGGCTAGTTAATGGCAGCTTTTGGACTAGAACACCATATGCTTAATTAAACAAATATATCTGTAGATCATTCATGCAGATAATCAGATGAGTCAGTATCTCTTGGTGCTATATCAGTGAAGATATCATATTAGTCTACTAAATTATTTTTACCAAAATTATAGGAAAAACTTTTGACCTTGAGGTAAGCCATGATTGAAGTAGGTAGACCTGGGCTTAAAAGAGTATGGGGATAAAGAATGTACTTACAGTCTTCGTACCACATGTTTACAAAAAGAAGCACTTTATCTGACTCATTTTCACACTTATTTTTTAACAGCTTTATTGAAATATATTTTATAATATTTAAGTGTATGACTTAAAGATTAAAAAAAAAATTATGGAGCTGGGCAACCATCACCACAGTCCAATTTTAGATCACTTTATCATTCTCCAAAATTCACATTTACTTTTTTCATGTGCTCAGGAGAAGCTCTATTTCTTGAACATTTGCTTTAAAGAAACCTTGAAATAAAAATTTAAAAACCGTACAAATTAGAGTTCTGTTTAGCAGCATATTTGATTTAACAGTAGCTGAACCATGGAAATTCAGCTGTCATCTGTGGCTTGGCCTCTGTAAAACTTGACCTTCATAGGAGAGAATAAATCGGCTCTTTCCTGTGGCTGTACAATTCCATTCGGGGTTCTGTTCTTAGAGTCCTACATAAAGTATGTACAAATCAGGCATATTTATGGGAAGGTTTTAAGTTCCAACTGATAAAGAACACTGGGAACCAGGCAGCCAACCAAAAGATGTTTCGATCACAGAGATTTCTGTACCTTACTCATTAGTTGTGTTGCCTGCCCAGGGTGTTAGATGAAAGAACCTCTGGGACATAATGGACAGAGAACGTGAGTGGGCAATAAAGAATCCAGTGTTCTAGTCTGGATGACCGATAGTGGGCTTTTGTCCATGACAACATTTCTGGAGGAGCAATCAGGATCTGCCAGTAGGACTGCTTTAATGATAGACCCTGCTATATTCAGATAAAGAACGTTTCCTGATCAAGGGGTTGCTTTAGTGTCATTGGGGTCATGGAATATAGATCTGTAAATTAGTTCAACAAAAAATTCTGAAGATATTATGTCTGACAAATGAGAGAAATTTGGGGGAGTCCTAAAGAGTATATTTAGGCTATTCTTAAATCTTATTTTTGAATGAGGTATATTGATTTTCTCTCATACCAAATAAAATTTTGATAAAAATATAGCAAAAAAAAAAAAAAAGAAGAATCCAGAGTTCTAACCCTGGCTTTGCCATTAACATGTTGTACAATCTTGGGGAAATCACTTCCAAGAATGACTTACAGACTCTGTTTTCATATCTTCCAAATAGGAGTGTTGGACTAGAGTGATTTTGAAGGGCATTTGTCAATTCTCCAGGTATGAAGAGACTCTGTGTGCTAAATATATAGATACAGGAAAAATGCTGATGAACAAGGCAGACTTGGTATCTGCCCTCATGGCGCTTACATTTCAATGAGGATGACAGGCATTTAAAAATGACATGAATTTACAGGCATGACAAGTACAACCAAGAAAAAGTACAGTGTGCTTTGGAGCACATGACCAAAGTTTCTTCCATACTGTTAATACTATGGATTTTTTTTTTCTTTTCTTTGGGGGTGGGGTGGGAAAGAGAAATTCACAGTAGGAGAAAATCATAATATGAGAAAATCTGGCTTCTGATTACACATAAGAGCTCTAGCAATGGAAAAAAAGCTGGTTTGCATAGCCTCACCTGGCTTTTGGCTTTCCAAGAATTTATGGCCAGATGAAGGTGCACTGATAGCTGGTTTACGCTGATAGCCAACTGAAACAGAAAGTGGCTTTAATATATAAAAGGTTGCGGTAGATAGCATGGTGATCTGTTTGTCTACATTTCTCCTGAAAGCAGTGAGATTTGGGCTGAATAAGAGTTGAAACTTCCTGCCTGGTGGTACTGAACAGTTCCACTGGACCTGGCTCCTCTATGTTCACAGATAATGATGAAATAATGTAACACGTCTAGTCATCTACTCAGAGAGTTTAGCTAGAAATAAAAAAGATATATTCCATAATTTCCGAGGTTCTTCCACGTCCTCCAAGTCTATG